CTCCTCCTTCTCCTCCTCCTCCTCCCAATCAGATTCCCCTATCGAAGGCGGAACCAAGCAAAACCATAGGAAACCCTCGTCGTCGTCCTCGTCGTCGTCGTCGTCGTCTTCCTCCTCTGTTTTGCCATTGTTCTGAAGAGAGTCTGCATCCGTGGCATCCAGGCAAGTGGCGAGCGAAAAACAACAACGGCAAGGAAAAAACAAAAAAACCTAAGGAAAAACCAAAACAACCAAAGAAATCAAAGGCAAACCACAGAAAAACCAAAACAACCGAAGGAAAACAAAAAAACAAAAAAAACAAAGATTTCAATACTTTCTCTTGGGGGCGCGGGGGTGGACGAAGCATTTTTTTTTTTTTGTTTTTTCCTCAGGTTTTTTTTGGGTTTTTCGGTGGTCTGCCTTTGATTTCTTTGGTTTTTCTGGTTTTTCCTTAGGTTTCTTTGGTTTTTCACCCCCCTCCGCCAGGCCCCCGTGGGGGGCGGACGGCTCCGGACGCTCCCAGGAGGCCCCAGGACACCCCTGGAGGCACCAGAGAGGCACCAGGGAGGCCCCAGAGATGTCCCAGAAACGCTCCTGCAGAGGACCCAAAAGGGAACCCAGCAAGGGACCCAGGAGGAGACCCAGGAAGGAACCCAGGAAGGGACCCAGGAGGGAACCCACGAGGGTACCCAGGAGAGAACCCAGGAGGGGACCCAAGAAGGAATCCAGGAGGGGACCCCAAAGGGAACCCAGCAAGAGACCCAGGAGGAGACCCAGGAGGGAACCCAGGAAGGGACCCAGGAGGGAACCCACGAGGGTACCCAGGAGAGAACCCAGGAGGGGACCCAAGAAGGAACCCAGGAGGGGACCCAGGAGGGAACCCAGGAAGGGACCCAGGAGGGAACCCCAAAAACAGGTTACGATCACTGTGCCCGAACACAAGGCTACATGGTTGCACGCCTGTTACGCAAGGACACCAGCAACGGCTCAGCATCAGTGGTGATACCACACAACAAACCAAAACTTCAACACTGCAAAGCGCTTCCATGGCGTTACTCTGGAGGGCATCCGAAAAACGGATGCCCCTCCGTGGCGGACGCGGGCCCAGGAGGGAACCCAAAAAACGGGTTCCCATCACTGTGCTCGAACACAAGGCCACATGGCCGCACGCTTGTTACGCAACGACACCAGCAACGGCTCAGCATCACTGATGACACCACACCACAAACCAAGTCTTCGACACTGCAAAGCGCTTCCACGGCGCTACTCTGGAGGGGCATCCAAAAACGGATGCCCCTCTGTGGCGGACGCGGACCCAGGAGGGAACCCAAAACACGGGTTCCCATCATTGTGCCCGAACACAAGGCCACATGGTCGCACATTTGTTACGCAACGACACCAGCAACGGCCCAGCATCAGTGATGATACCACACCACAAACCAAGATTTCAACACTGCAAAGCGCTTCCACGGCGTTACTCTGGAGGGCATCCGAAAAACGGATGCCCCTCCGTGGCGGACGCGGACCCAGGAGGGAACCCAAAAAACGGGTTCCCATCACTGTGCTCGAACACAAGGCCACATGGCCGCACGCTTGTTACGCAACGACACCAGCAACGGCTCAGCATCAGTGATGACACCACACCACAAACCAAGTCTTCGACACTGCAAAGCGCTTCCACGGCGCTACTCTGGAGGGGCATCCAAAAACGGATGCCCCTCTGTGGCGGACGCGGACCCAGGAGGGAACCCAAAACACGGGTTCCCATCATTGTGCCCGAACACAAGGCCACATGGTCGCACTCTTGTTACGCAACGACACCAGCAACGGCCCAGCATCAGTGATGATACCACACCACAAACCAAGATTTCAACACTGCAAAGCGCTTCCACGGCGTTACTCTGGAGGGCATCCGAAAAACGGATGCCCCTCCGTGGCGGACGCGGACCCAGGAGGGAACCCAAAAAACGGGTTCCCATCACTGTGCTCGAACACAAGGCCACATGGCCGCACGCTTGTTACGCAACGACACCAGCAACGGCTCAGCATCAGTGATGACACCACACCACAAACCAAGTCTTCGACACTGCAAAGCGCTTCCACGGCGCTACTCTGGAGGGGCATCCAAAAACGGATGCCCCTCTGTGGCGGACGCGGACCCAGGAGGGAACCCAAAAAAACGGGTTCCCATCATTGTGCCCGAACACAAGGCCACATGGTCGCACACTTGTTACGCAACGACACCAGCAACGGCCCAGCATCAGTGATGATACCACACCACAAACCAAGATTTCAACACTGCAAGCGAAATGGAGCCTGTACTTCTGCTCAGTTTTTTTTTTTCAGGGGGGCGGGGATACGGCAGAGCCCATATATATATATATATATATATATATATATATAATATATATATATAATATATATCGTTCGCACGCATGCTCATCCACGCTTGGGCTCATTCGTGCTCAGATTCACCCGCGCTCAGTCTCTCGTAATTCGACCGATCGTTTTCCTTCGTGTTGTGTGCCCCGCCACTTTTCGGCACGCCCCTCGTGCGGTTCGTGGGCACCGCCGAAGAAGATACTCTCAATTGCGGTACTCGCAAGTTCATATGGATGGGTCCTTCGCCAAGATAGTTGACATAACAAAAAAAACGCCTGGTAGTTGCGCTACGCTTGCAACGCAAATGATACATCGTGTTTCCTCCTTTTCTTCCTCCTCCGGCTCCTCCTCCACTGCGGCCTCCTCCACCCTCTCCAACTCTTCCTCATCCTCCTTCTTCTTCTCCCCCAGGGAAGCCCTTCATCTCCCCTTCTCCTCCCTCTTCCTTTGGCTACGTCCAGCCGCGGATAGTAAGAGGGCCCCTGAAGTGCCTGTTGGGCCTGTGTTAAGCCCTTGTTCGTGGACCGTAGGAAGTCATGGAAACAATTTGGGCCGTCTTCGTTGCTGATGGAAACCCCGGGACAAAATGTCATATAATAGAGATCCCCAGAAATTCGGCCATCCAGCCTAGCTAGAACTTGAGCGCGCGCGAAGCGCGTGCGATGGTTCTAGTATTTATGAACACAAGACTGCATCGGCGCTTCGCGCCATGCACCTGGGTCCCTGAAGTTTGGCATGCTGGCGCAATGGCACTAAGGCCAAACAAATAATTTAGTGATGATTTCTTGTTGCCTTTTCCAGCGTCGCCGTTCTAATAATGTTATTCGTTATCCATCCTCCATGCTTTCCTCATTCTCGCCCTATTCGGCGACTTCTTCGCCATCCTCCTCAGCGCTTTTTGCGGAGGTTCCTCCTTGGAGGGCCTGTGGCGGGCCTCACGGATTTTTTCTGGTTTTCTTAATGCCTCTGGAGGCCTCCTGGGCGTCATCTGGGGGCCTCTGGGGGCTTCCTCGGGCCACCCTGCCTCCAACCGCGGTCTCCCTGAACGACCGGGGCACGATTTAGAATGCTTCGGAGAGTGGCTTAGGGTCATCTTGGGCCGTAATGGGGCTCTCGTCGGCCATCTTGGAACCTTGTTGTGCCGTCTTGGGGCTCCTTTGGATTGCCTGGAAGCCTTTTCGGATGGTTTCGGGATGATTTTCGAGCCTCACAGGCTGTTTTGGACGCCCGGAAGACCGAAGAACAGGGTCATTCCCAAAGTCATGGAAAAACCTTGGACAATCAATGATTTTCTGCGTTTTGGAAGCCTCTTGGGGGTCTTCTTTGGGTCGTCTTCGGGCGTCTTGTGGGGGTCTGGGGCCTCTTGGGACCCTCGCGGGGGCGTTCGGCCGCTCTCCTGACCGATTTGGGCTCGTTGCCTAGGCCCAGCAAGGGCTTCCAGGAGCTCTGAAACGCCTGGGAGGCCTCCTGCAGGGGCGCTATGCCATCTCGCGTAAGACCTGTTTCTGAGTGTCGCTCACTTGTCCGCCCCGTCCTCTCCCATCTCCTGCCAGGACGCGGAGATAAGGAACACTTTGGGTTCGGAAGGGGCTCGAGGTTCCTTTGGTCCTGCCAAGGTCATCCCTCCTCTTCCCTCTCCGCCCCCTCCCTCCTGCACCCCCTCCTGGGCCGTGGTGCCAATCGTAGCGTCGCACCCCCAGATGTCGAGGTCTCGTGCCTTGCTCTCGTGGATCGCCGATCTGATACGATCCACCTCCCTCGCCCCCCTCCCCCTCCCCTTCCGCCCTCCGTCCTCCTCCGCCCTCCTCCGCCCTCCCTCGTCCCCTCCTCCCTCCTCCGCCCTCCTCCTCCGCCCTCCTCCGCCCTCTGCCCTCCTCCGCCCTCCTCCGCCCTCCTCCGTCCTCCTCCTCCGCCTTCCTCCGCCCTCCTCCGCCCTCCTCCGCCCTCCGCCCTCCTCCGCCCTCCTCCCTCTCCCCCCTTCCCCCTCCCCCTCCCCTGCTGCCCTGCTCCCCCTTCGTCCCCCTCCGCCCTCCTCCGCCCTCGCTCGTGTCCCGTAGCTCGCAGAGGCGAAGATGACGATAGCGCCATCGTCATCGTCATCGTCATCGTCATCGCCATTGCCATGGTCATCGTTATCGTCATCGCCATCGTCATCGCCATCGTCATCGTCATCGTCATCGTCATCGTCATCGTCATCATTCATCGTCGTCGTCGTCGATGTCGTCGTTTTCCTCCTCATCACCATCAGCATCATCATCAGCATCATCATCATCATCATCATCATCATCATCATCATCATCATCATCATCATCATCATCATCATCATCATCTTCGTCGTCGTCGTCATCATCATCAGCATCGTCATCATCGTCATCATCGTCATCATCATCGTCATCATCATCGTCATCATCATCAGCATCATCATCACTACGATCGTCATCGTCATCGTCATCGTCATCGTCATCGGCGTCGTCGCCATCGTCATCGTGAGCTTCATCGTCATCGTCATCGTCATCGTCATCGTCATCGTCATCGTCATCGTCATCGTCATCGGCGTCGTCGCCATCGTCATCGTGAGCCTCATCGTCATCGCCATCACCATCGTCGTTCATCGTCGTCGTCGTCATCCCGTCATCCAGGCACTGGAGGTGCTCGCGGACCAGCAGCGTGCACAGCTCGAGCTCTTCCTGCGCCTGGGCGGCGAGTCCGCCGCCGGCGCCTCGGTGCATGAGGTCCTCCGTGGCGAGCCGCTGCGGCAGGCCTTGCGCCTGGGAGGGCTCCCCTCGGCGGCCTCCCGTCGGGTGTTGCCAGAAGTGCCCCGGGCCCAAGGTTCTAGGCCTCCTGCAACCAAGACGCTGGAATAAGGAACAGTTTGCGTTCGGAAGGGGCCCGATGTTCCTCAGGTTCCTCCAGCACGGAGGCGCTCACAGGGCCAAGAAGGGGCTTCGGTCCTTATTTAGCGTTCCTTCTTTCAGCAGCCCAATTGTAGATCGGGTCGGAGAAGATGGGGTTGGACGATCGCGCCGCATCGCCGATGCATCGGCGATGCATCGGCGATGCAGCTTGATGTGGGGCCCAATTTTCTCCACGCCGAGGTCGCCGATGCATCGCCGACGCCGCAAGCGCATCGCCGACGCATCGGCGATGCGGCGAGACCCTCCGACCCCATCTACTCGGACCCCATCCAGGAGGCCTTGAGATTTCCGAGCAGGCCCCCACAGCCTCCAGAACACCCTTCACGAGCCCCAGAGGGCCCCAGGGGCTGCAGAAGTGAACGAAAAGCTGGGGGCACCTTGGGCCAGGGGCACCTTTACCGTCGCAGGCCAACGCCATGACGTCTTATTCCAGAATTATTGTGTTTTCTGGACTCAACATTTGTTGTTGCTGATTTCTCACTACTGAAGAACAATTATTATTGATCCCCCTCCGGTGACCGTCTGTGTTTTTTCAATCGAAGTGCTTCCCCTGGGGCTCGCACTTTTTTTCTATCAGGGAAAGTCACGGGGCTCAAACTGGGCCCCTGGCTCCCGGCTTACAACAACAACGGCTCCTGCCTGATATGTCCTCACAATTTATTCTCCAATCGCGCTTTCGCGCGGGACTTCTTCACAATTCATGTACGCATCGCGCTCTCGCGTGGGACTTCCTCGGCAATTTATTCAGACGATGCAGCCTCGGCGCTCAGAAATCACGCTCACGCTTTGGCTTTTCTCACGATTTACTTGGGAGTCGCGCTATCGCTCATGCAGGACCCACGCTTCAGCAACCCGCCTGCTCGACCTCGTCGCCTGGGCCCGCCTTCCCGACCTGCCCGCTATGGGTCTGCCCACCCGATCTGCCCGTCTGGTGGTAGCACTTGTTTTTTGCTGCTAACCCCCCTCCTGCTAATTTCTCTCGTGCTCCATTCTTCTCCCTCCCCCTTCCACCCGTCCTCTCTTCCCTTGTTTTAGGGGCTGCACCAAGTGCACGTGGCAGGTAAGGAAGATGTACTTCCAAGGGGGTACGATCGAAGACGACGCGGGTGGGTACCAAGGGTTTGGGATATACGTATTGGTTGGCACGTGAACAGATAGGAGCGGACAGTCTTAAAATGTTTGTTGTTGTTGATGATGCCGTTGTTGTTTTCCAACCACCCTGTGGTGTTGGGTCCTCGTTTTGAAGAGACAGGTTTCGTGGCCCCATACGGAGCTTCACCGAAGGCCCGAACGCCAGCGCTCGCATGCGCCCATCGCGCCCATTTCAGCACACCCCGCACACGTTTCGGGGCCCCACAAGGGGCTCCACCGAAGGCCCAAACGCCAGCCCACCCCTCGCACGCTTCATGTCGACATAGGGAGCTTTACCGAATGCGGCGTATACAACGACGGTACCCACGACTGCATATGGTTGGGTCTTTCGCCAGGTTAATTTATGTTTGATTTTCCCCTTTTCTTGGTCGGATGTATGTCTCCTCGTTTTGTGTGTCACGTGCCCTTGGGCGCCACACTGCCGACGCGTAGCCGTTTATCATGCATAGTAGGCAATCCCTGTAGACAGGGTGCGGTTCCTAGTCCATGTCAGGAGCAGGTTGCAGGCTAACCCCCAAGTTTCCCGTTGTGATGTCGACGTGAAATGACATACCGATATTTTCATGACGTCCAATCAAAGTTGTTAGTGTAGTGTAGGTTTTAGGCGCGACCCGATGTTAATTTTCATGTGTGAATTCGACAGTTAATGCATCATCAGCTTGTCAGGTTTACTTTGAGATCTACGACGCTGCCTCGTTTCCTGATTACTTTCGCTCTCAGTTTCCGGCTTAATGTTCCTGCTGGATTTTCTGCTTCTGCTGGATTCCTTGCTTAAGTTTACTATTTGATTTCCTACTTGATTTTACTGCTTACTTTCCTGTTTAATGTCCATGCGGAATTGCTGAACTTTCGGCTTAGTTTCCCTGGTTCATTGTCCTGCTTCGTGTCCTGCGTAAGTATCCTGCCGGATTTCGCTGCTTCATTTCCTTGCTTAAGTTTTGCCTTTCAAATAGTAGTATGAACTAAGAAGGCTCCGCTAATGTTGGCGGCGATATATGTCCTCAGTGACGTCGCTAATCATCGCCGCTGATTTATCGCTAATTTGGGCATACCTTGCGTATGTCAGAACAAGAAGGAAGTTAGCGACGTTACTTCGCGGGTACCTCTGTGTAGCCCGGATGAAAATTGCCTTGCCGCTGATCTAGGAATCAAGCATGGTTTATAATTCAGGGCCTAAATTCGTTGTGGCGTGTGGCGCCTAAGTAGCGCTGAATTTAACGCCTAAGCTAATTCTCAAAGTAGCATTGGCTCAGCTTTCCTGCTTGATTTCCCTGCTTATTTTTCCTGCTTGATTTCCTCCTTGAGCATCTGCTTCACTTGCTGGCTTAATTTTCCTGGTTAACCATTTCTTACTTAATTTTCTTGCTTGGTTTCTGTGTCCAGCTTCCGTGCTTAATATTTCTTGTTCAATTTCTTTCTTGATTTCGTGCTCCAGCTTCCTGTTCAATGTTCTGCTTAAGTTTCCTGTTCACTTTCCTGTTCAATTTTCCTGTTTACTTGTCTGTTTGATTTTGCTGCCTCGTTTCCCGTTTACGTGTCATGGTTAGTGTGAGTTTTTTCTTTGGTTTGATGTAGTATCTTCATGTTGGTGCTAATTCTTGTGCTGACGATGGAGCTTTAATGTGACGCCAATCATCGGGTTTAGTGTTTATTTTCGTTGCGAACTTGAACTTTCGATTGTATTCGCAGCGAAGTACTGCCGTCACCTGGGATGTTATTTCCGTCCGTATCGAAGACGCCTACGGCGGATCACCGCCGCCCCCTGCCTTTCTGGAAACGCCTATGTGGCAGAACGTTGGGTTAGAGCTTGGCCAAGCTATCTGACCATGTGTTCCCAGAGTCGGTTTGGAAAGCCTTCGGGGAACACGGGGGGGAGTAGGAAGAGGAGGAGGAGGAGGAAACATGAGAGGGAGGAGAAGGCCTCTTGAGAGCCTCTTGACGCACTCTTGAGCTCTATTGGGCCATCTTGGCGGTTTTGGAGGCATCTTGGGACCGTCTTGGAGGCCATATTGGGGTTATCTTGGGGCCTCTTGGGGCCATCTTGGCCGTCTTGGACTCTTCTCGGATGCCATTTTGGGCCGTGCAGGCCGTCTTGGAGGCGTCTTGGGACCGTTTTGGAGGCAATCTTGGCCGTTTTGGAGGAATCTTTCGTAGACTTTGAGGTCCTGTATGGTCTCTCCGTAGCTGTTGAGGCTCTCTTGGGGTCTTTTTATGGGCCTCTTGGGCCATCATGGGGCCATCTTGGAGGCCTCCTGCTTTTCTGGACGAGCCTACGTGTCGGAACGTTGTGACTACAACTTGTCCTGTCTATTGGCCTATGTGTTCTCCGAGTTGTGTTCGAAAGCTTTCGAGGAACACGAGGGTGATAATGACCGCCGTGAGGACTTCGATCTGGTCTCGCTCACGGTACTTGACGGGGCCGCTTTGAACAGTATGTGGGGTCGCCTTAAGTAACGGGGTGGCCATAAACATTGAAAGATGTTTTGAAGGCCTCGACATAACATAATAGTGTTGTACGGCTACTAAAGTTCAGAGGGGTTTCGTGTCTGGCTTTGCAAGACAATTTGCTCGGTGTCTGAATACTGGACAATGTGTTCCCCGAGTTTGTTTGGTCAGATTTCAGGGAACACGTGGGCGAGAACGAGTTCAATGAGGACGCCAGAGCGTCAGAGCTTGGCCAAATTCTTGGACCACGTGTTCCCCGAATCCGTTGGTGAACCCTTCGGGGAACACATGGAACAGGAAGAGGAGGATGAGGAGAGGGGAGTAAAAAAGAAACTGGGAGGAGGAGGAGGAGGAGGAGGAGGAGGAGGAGGAGGAGGAGGAAGAGTAGGACTAGGGTCGATTTTGAGGAGGAGGACTAGGGGCGGCAAAGAGGGGGGTGATGACTCGGGGGGGGTGGATACCATGGCGTGGGCCATGATATTTCCCCAGATTTCATGGCGCTCCCTCTTATTCCATTACGTGCCCTTGCCCCCCCCTGGGCCGCGCACATGCCGCCGGTCATGATTTGCACTCCCCCTCTTGGGCACCCCCCTCTTGGCCGCTCCCGAGTATGTGTCGATCCCCCACTCGCCACCGATCGCCGATTGTGGCCTGACAGCCCAAGCCACCCAAGAATCTGCGGATTCGCTACTGGGGTTAAGTCGGGCACGTCGTGCTACGCAACTGCACGGAAGTCCTCGCGCGCGTGCCTCGCTCACGACCTCCTCTCGCAGGCTGGTGCGGCACGCGAGCGGCTGCTGACTGCCATAAGCTGGAGAGGATGCCGAAGGCACTCGACGGATCTCCGCTTCTCCTTTGCCCCACGCGGCGCTCCGCGCAAGGCCCGACCTGACCTGACCTGACCCCCGGCGGTCTTCGCGGTTTCCGGAGGCCTCTTGGCCGTCTGAGGAGGAGGAGGAAAAGGAGGAGGAGGCGAAGGAGGAGGAGGAGGAGGAGGAGGAGGAGGAGGAGGAGGAGGAGGAGGAGGAGGAGGAGGAGGAGGAGGAGGTCTTTGGAGGTCCTTCCAGAAGCCCTCGTGGGCTTTTGGCGTCGGCGGGGTTCGGGGGCCCCCGGCGTTCTCCGGCGGCGGTGCTCGGGGTTCGGGGCCCTCTCGGCAGGCTGTAGTCCTCTTCGGAGGTCTTCGGAGGGCCTCGGTGGTCTTCGTCGAGCTCCTGGTGGGCCTTCTCCCTCTCTTCCCTGCTCCCCCC